ATTATTAATTGTAGTTAATTGTTGAACCGTATGATTGATTGAAGATGTTGATGAAATTATAGTTGTTTGTTCAGTTTTAGGTTCTGTATTTTCTTTGATCATCTGTATATGTATATATATAAGAAACAAAAAGGAATGAATACATTGATGATGTTGACCATGATCATATCAGTATAAGAGAGAAAAGAAGAAAGATTTACATCATCATCTATATTGTAGATAGAACAATATCTTTCATGATGAAAGTCAATGATGATTAATATCCTGCACATGTTTCTTTATTCAACTTATATCAATAAATAGGAAAAAAAGAGACAAATCAATTATGTAATTCTATTTTAATACCTGTAGTTTAGCTAAAGGAATTATATCAGCACCTGTTGGACGTTGCCAAATAGTTCTTTGAGTTCGTGCATTATAATAATAATTACGTCTAGTACTTCCATCAAATAATTCCCACCATTGATTATCGTCTGTTAATTTACTAGAATAAGTTCAGAAGAAGATAGAAAAGAAATTAGATGTAAAAATTATCTTAAAATGTTATAATAACAATTCATATATGTTCTTTGGACTTCTTATTTATTCATGTTGTGTCATTTTCTATTGTCCAGACATACAGTTGCTTTGTTTCTTTTTAGAAGAAAAAGAAAAACCAAGGTTATACATTTATGTATATATATATACATTTTTAGTATATGAAGGCTGCAAATCAGGAGGATATACTGTCAAGAAGTTGATTATATTAGGCAATTAATTGATGTTGTCTGTTGAATAAAATACACTATAATATAAGTTAATCTCTGTGTTAATTGATATCTCTTTCTTTATCTAGTTCATTCTAGTGAAGAATTAGTTCAAATGAGACAGATAGACAATAAGATTTACTCCTTTCTTTTTTGACTAGCTATTTATTGACATCTTGACACGAAAGCAAAACATCCGTACAAGTACTAAAAAAATACTATTGTCGCACTAGTAGTATATAATGACATGTGTTCATCTCTATTGTTTGCTATGTTCATTTGTACGTGTGGTTAAACTCGTCATTTTTTTCTCTCTCTCTCTCGTTGTACATTGAGTTGACCTTTCTTTATGCACTCTTTTATTCATAATTGAAATAGAAAGTGAAATGTGAAAGGTCTCTTATCATCTGTAGACTATCAAAAAAAAAGAGAATAATCTCAATTGATTTTTTTTAATTTAATGAAATATCATATGATGAAAAAGATTTCTTTTGTTTCGTAAATTGAAACTTACATTTTTGCACCAGGCGGTGCTTCCCAAACGCATTCACCAGTAACCAGATTGGCATACATAGTGTCCTTGGATTTCGGCTCGATGATTTGAACCCACTCAAGTCTAATAAAACAGAAAGCAAAAGAAACCGGGGTAATAAAGTGACATACATATTGATATTTCTTTTTTTTCATTTTTTTTTTCTACATAAGAACAATAATACTAATCAATAACTTTACCTTTCTCCCATGCCTTTTTTTTTGTGTTACAAAGGAAAGATAGACATATATTTATATGTAAATAGCACCTTGATCCAAAACGTAATATTACAAGTGAAGAGATATATCCATACAAGTTGTCACATGATTCTTTGTTGATGATGTCGTCGCATAATTTATCGACAACAACTACAAACTTAATTTTTATATATATTAATTCAATAAAAATCTATTGAAAGACACAAAAGAAACATATCTATTCATCTATTTACTTATAAATAATATAAAACCTTGTATATATGAACAAAGAAAAAAAATAAAAAAAAAGGAATATAATGATACTTCATTGATGCATTAATAGGTATGGAAAACATGACAAGAAGGTTATTAATGTAATCAATATTGATCAAAAGTATATCTATGTCAAAAATTCTTTCAAAAAATGAGTTATATTCTATTATCAATAGAAGCAAATAAGTGTCAAATAAGGATAAGCTTCAGTTAGAAAAATAGTACAACAAATGTCTACTTTCTATCATCAATTTATCTGTTCAACCAAACGAGTATAATGATAATTCGGATCTAAACCTAAAAAGGGAATTTTTTCTCTCTCTTTCTCTCTCTCTCTTTGTCGGTCACAGATATAAAGTGTCGGAAAGAACGTTTGCGTTCAGAGTTGCTCAATCGTCACGATCTTCTAGTAACTATATATGGTTGTCTAGCTATGTTAGGCATTAGCATGAGGAAATAGCTAGTAAGGGTAAAGAAGAGAATAAAGAGGAGAGAAGAGGTCATCAAACTATCGTTTATTTATCGGACATGCGATTACGTTCATCACTTCTTTCTAACGTAATCTTATGACCGACTACTCTTCCTGTTTTCTTCCTCATCAAACAATAAATCGATGAGAGGAAACATCAAATAACAAGCATACTAATATAAATAAATATGAAACAGATTTTATCTTGTATTAGGAAATAAATGATACGGAAGAATAAAAATCTTTACATACGTCATTAAATGATATACAATGTTATTTCTCTTGTTTGGTAAGAATTCGAAAGAAAACGAAAAAAAAAAAACTTTATACTAAAGACTTAACTATATTCAACACAAAAAAAAAAAATAATATATTAACGAACGAAAGAATACGAGACATTTATTACACGAAAAGAGAAAAATGACAGAGCGAGACGACAATCTGTCATAGACCAATAATATTCATATCGTATATATGGTGGCGTTAGAAGCCGTTTTTAATGATCCCTATTTCTTATTTAAATGAAACAAAAATAGATATAATTGAATCCATTAACTAAATTTCTTTAAATTGTTACATCTAATATACTAGAAAAAGCATTAGTACATATGTAACGGGTTTGAATAACGAGTAACAATTGATGTAAGAAAGCTTTCTCCATAATATTATTATAAACGAATTGACACAATCAGTATATTTTGCTAGTTCCATTTTATATTCGTAAACTAAAATCACAATCGACACAAAAACTAAAACAATTTTCATAGATGTTATTTAAATTAAAGTTGATTATCTTTTGTAAATGAGAATGTATCATTATTCTAGTAAAATTATTGTTTGTATTTTCCAATTGAGTAACCAGATATACAAATGATATTCGTGTGAATTAACTTAAGCAAAGGCTGCGATAGTAATTATGATGACGCACATACAATCAATTAGTTTCTAGGAAATTATTTTCCAATTATATCTTTTTATTACAGAAAGCCATTATCTTAATTGTCGTACTTAATTTAATGGTGAAAAATCAATTTGGTTGATTAATTTTTCTTGAATATGGTTGACTAGAGAATATTCAACTGCATAGTCTGTGACAAAAAAAAGAGGATAAATGTGATATTAAACAGTGCTTAAAACATCAATTGCATCAGAATGTATCATAATTATTTTATAGTCATACTATTCTATAATTGCAGTAGCAACAACTACGCTATTTTCAAATGCTCTATTCAAATGATAATTTAATCTATATATTGAATGTTGTTTTATGTATTTAGTTAATACTCAACTTTTCCTTTAGCATTAATGGGTAAATTTTTTTCTGTTTGTTTGTTTTGTATTACGAATATAATACTTAAATTTGATCACATGTCTATTTGTTTTTGTTTTGTCGAAGGAATAAGGAATATCGCTTATAACTAATATGCTTGTTTTTTTTTGTAAGTTACAGTATGATCGACCTTTTGACAAAGGACAATATATAGTGACTATTTTTTTTTTTTTTTTTTGTTTCATCTATTGAAAGTATAAGAAAAAGTAAATAATACAAAAGTTCATCGCGTTATTCTTTGATCATATTGAATAGTAACATCTTGACATTTACAAACAGATTTTCAAAATGTGTTTTTTTTTTCTTTGAGTCAACAATAGATTTAATAAATGAATGAATACATATTGAATAAATAATATATATAGATAATAATCTTAATCTAAATAAACTAAGTATTATGTATACTTTTTCATATGATTAATATGAACTTTAATTTTTATTTACTGAATAAGATAATTAAATATCTACTTTTTTCTTATTTTACTGTAATAGATAAAATAAAAAGTTTGATTATTCTTAAATAGATATACAAGTCATTTATTAATAACTCTAAAAATTCGAGTTGTTATAAGTATGCAAAGAGAATTATGAGTCTAGTATTTTCATGTATTCTTCGTATAAAAGTATTATTGAAAAACGAGACGTTTCATATTCCATCTTATATTATAATCATACCAATCATCATTTGTCATGATTAGAAAAAAAAAAAAAAAGAAAAGTACAAAAGTACGCTTGACATATAAATCATAGAAGATTTCAATTTCTATTATCATTAAGTCTCAAAGAAGCATTACAATAACAAAGAAAAAAGTCAACTCAGGTTTCACTTTACTTATCAACTCGAATGTCTTCGCTGCTAATAACAGCAGATTTGTATCGTCTATCATAGGAAACTTCAAGGTTTTCTTCTGTGACCTTTGAAGTATATTATAAAACAACTGATCAGTACAACAAGAAGTAAAAGAAAAAAAATAGTCTACCTTTTTTTTTTTTTTTGAATTTATCCTTTTTATTATATTACACGGAAAAACAAACATTGAAATTCTCAATATATTTATGATAAAGTTTTGTTTTTTTTATAAATGTTTGTACTATTCGTATTATTTCATCGACAATAGAAACAATGGTTTGATTAAAATTATCTATTCTTGATAAATTTTTATTTTCAAAAGAAAAAAAAAACATGTTTTATTTTGTTATGTTTTCTACTTTAGGTCGAAGTATTTTTCAAAATAAGACGTCGACGACGAAACAAAAGTAAATAAACAGAATGAAGAAATATAAATAGATAGACTAATGACAATGGTCAGTCAGAAAATTCTTATATATACGACTATATATATTTATAGATGCATTGAAACGAAGAATGACGACATAAGAGACGAATGCACATCGAGTGAAACTGACTGATTGTTATCAAATAATATCAGTCTTTATTTGAATCAAATCAAACATGTCGAATGATGAAACATCTACATTACCCATGTCTATAGAAGATATAGATGCTACAAATACTCGTCGTGTAACATTAACTCGTAGTAGTGTTGCTGCTCTATTTGCTCAATCATCTTATGATACTGGTGAAAAAATAGCGACGACGAATTTAACACGTCCTGCTCGAGAATATCGGCCTCCACCAGTCACTCGTTCATGGTTAACATCAACTTCTACAACAACAAATAATACAACTAGTAGTTCATTTCGTTCTACAGATTCAACAGTAGCAGCACAACGATCATCTTTATTTCGATATGTTATTCAACGTTCGTCATCATTTGCTACAACAGCTGTTTCACAAGTTATGTCAAATACTCGTCGTCATACATTAAAACAAATACGTTCAATCTGTAATCAACATGATAAAGTTTCATCAATTGATGCAGATGTTGAACCAGTTGCATCAATAACCGATTGTTTAGAAGCACCATCAATAGCTGCCGTACAAATTTGTCGTTCAATATCGATGCCTAATACATCTGATAAATATCGTCAACATTATAAACAACAACATTTATTAGTTAAAAGTGGTGGAAAACCTATGTAAATTATTTATTTTCTCTTCTTTATATATGGTAATATAATATGAACTTACATGTATTTTTTCTGCTTAACTTATTTTTCTGTTTTTTTTTTTTTTTTCTTTCGGCTTGTTATTATAAATAATTGAACTTTAAAATAAAACAAGATATATTTATTTATGTATCCATTATATATATGTATAAACAAAAACATATCAAAGAATATGAAATAATATACGGATAAGAAACATATAAGTTGTTTTTCTAAATCTTTTATGTTAAAATTTTAAGGAAATGGTCTAGTTCCGGTTCCGATTCCGTTAAACGGAAATCGTCAGCGGAAGTTTTTCGGACATAGACATATAATCTATATTCAATCAAACTTTAATTTGACAAAACACGATTTTATGTCTTTCTAAAAGTTTTTATTTTTATTTTTTGTCAATTGAAAATCTTAATTTAAGTCTATATAAAATCAATTTTATGTAAATTTTTACTATATTTTAATGTAAGAATTCATGCTGGAGTTTTATTGAACTTGTCTTATATCACATAAAAAACATACAAACAAAACAAAACAATCATAATATTGCTTGAATACAAATTACTAATCATCTCTCACAACGATATAGAACTATCAAGAAAACACAATAATAAAAAAAACAAAGAAAATTTATACAATAATCTTATACGATAAATCTCTTTTAGAGAATAAAAAAACGTCATAAAGCATCTATTTATTCTAGATTCTCATAAACACGTACGAGACCATCACGACAAATTGAATAAACTCTATTATTAAATACTTTTCCATTAAGTATAGAATCATCTGCACCTGTAAAATCTCGAACATGGAATTGTGATATATCCGACATTGATTGTAATTCTTCTTTATTATATTCAAAACAACTACCATCAGTTGTTGTTGTTAATATACCTTGATGATCACGACTAGGAGTAATACTTGTTATTTTTCCTCGTTGTTCTTTCCATGTATGAATAGGTATATCATTTAATTGTCGTATATCATAAATGCCAATTATTGATTGTTCAGTACCATAAATAAGTTGATTTGATTCTGACAAATAACAAAGTGTACTAACTGGTGAACCAATTGTAATTGTATTCATTGTTTCTTTTGAATTTTTTTCATTTGAATTATAAAAACGAATTGAACCATCATCACAAGCACAAGCTAATAATGAATCAATTAAACTGACACAATTAACACTAGTATCTTGTAATTCAACAATTTTATTTATTTGTTCATTTTTTTTAATATCCCATAATATAACAGAACCATCATTCGATGCACTTAATACATTTTGTTGATTAAGAGCTTGAACATCATTAATACGTGAACGATGTCCACTTAATGTTATATTACGTATTTCATTATTGTCATTATCAAGTGACCAAACTTTAACACGCATATCAGCTCCACCAGAGACCACAGCAAAATCTAAATAGAAAAAAAAAAGATAATTTAGTCCGAATATTGATACATATATATGATAACGAGTAATATAACTTTACCTGACGGAAAAAATCGACTTATATAAACATCTTCAACATGGCCTTTTAGTGTACGTCGTACTTCACCTTAAAAAATTAAATCAATATATTTTTTGACTTAAATTTAATGATGAGAACATACCATTTTCAATATCCCAAATAGTAATTCTTCCATTATTGAATGCTGTTAAACCAACACCACCTGAACTAATATCAAACCAATGAGGATGGGCTGATAAATGTGTTTGTTGCATTCGACTTTTAGGAAGTTCTGGTACATTAATTAATGGATCTAATTCAGCATTAATTTCATCATCTTCATGCTTACCAGTTGTACTAAATGATTTTATTGGTCCTAAAAGTTAGATTATTTAAAATTGAAAAATAACAAATAAATAAAACAATAAGAAATATTTATCTACCTTGAAATGTATGACTAAAATCAGTATCTCGAATTTTAATACGTAATTGTTGTTGATTTCTATCAATATCATTCGATTGAAAATTATCACTTGATGATGTTTTGTAAACTTTAGCTTCTGGATCTAACAAAGCTTTTATTGAACAAACACCATGAATATTTTGTGTTATACGTGATAAAGCAGCACTGCCAGATTTAAATTCAAGCCAAGCATCGACAGGTAATGTATTTAATTTAAGATTCGTTGACCAATCAGGTTGAATAATAATACGTGGATGTGTTGCTGCTACTGTATTTAAAGCAGTTACATCAGCTAGAGCAGCCATTTTTTTAAAATTTTTGTATTCAAATCTAAAGATATGACAACCAATATATGATAGTAATTTGAAGTGATGGTACTATACCATTCTTTTTCATTTTTACTCATAAGATAATCAAAAAAGAAAAGAGGAAGAGAGAACAATAGTATGTATGTCTGACATTATCCTGTAAAAAAAAACAGCAGACACAAGTAAGAACAAAGAAAAGACAATCTTGTTTGTCATGATGCAAAAAAATGACAACGAGAAAAATAGGACAATACATACAAGCTAAGTATGTGAATGGTTTTTCGTTTTTTTTTTTTTTTCATATACATCAAACAGTCACAGTACGAACAAATACAAAAAAAACAAAACAAAAAAAAAAAAAAGGAAAAAGACAACCAAATCAATGATGTATTCATTTCTACACCATAGAAGAAGAAGAAGAATAAGGAAAAAAACCACGAATCAAGACAAGTATAGGAATCAAAAAAAAAAACAAATAGCGCAATACTTTTTTTCCTTTAATGTTTATTATTACTCGATCAGTATTTCCAGAAAAAACAAATATGATTTTTTATTTATTCTTCAACTTCAGATTCATTATCATCGTCATCATCATCACCATCATCATCATCATGTTGTTGTTCACCATTATTATTATTTGTATTATTATTATTATTCGTTGAATTTGTATTAGCTGTTGTTAAGGTTTGGTAAGTCTAATAAACACAATATTAAAAAGCAAAAATTAAATTATTTATTTTATTTTATTCTTACTTGGTGTTGAAGATGTTGTTGTAATTGTTGTTGTTGTAATGCTTGAAATTGTTGCATTTGAACCTATAAACGAAAAATATATTTATTTTTATCAAATTAAATACAAATTTTAATTAAAAGCTGCAAGTATGAGAAGAAGAAATAAGCACGCGCACACACACGTGTATATATATATATATTTATAAGAGATACAATGATAAGAGACAAAAAAAAGCAAAGTAGTCTATATAGAAATTAATTACTCACCAATAAGTATAATTATATTTATATATTCAATCAGTATAAAGAAAAATTTGTGTTTTTGTGATTATTTAATTTTTTTTTCTATCTTCTTTTTTTTTTTTTGATTTGTTATGTTTACACAAAACAAAGAAGAACAAACAAAAAATAATTGACAACAGATCTTTTTGTTTTTGAAATTAAAAAAAAAAGAAAACAGAAGGAAAAAAAACCGGAAGAACAAAAAATGCTGCTATTTAATGTCGATGTACCAATTATTTATCAATCATAGTTTATCTTTATATACACATGCACACTCTGTTTATCAGATTTGTAAGACAAAAAAGAAAAAAACGGGCACAAACAAACAAAAGAAAATTAGGAGGGAGATTCGTTTGTCAAATATATATATCTTTATATATATATGTACGTGAATGGCAATAAATAAAACTTGGTGACTGGTTGTTTTTTTTTATATTTTTAATATTGAAGAGAAAGAAAGAGTGTATATGAGTATATATATATATATATATATATACGTATGTGTGCATACTACTTATAATGCTCACTAATATCCTACATTGTTATGTGGCATTTGTAACGAATAGCCATTATAATGAGGAAAAAGCGAAGCTGCCAAACCATTATCTTGGAAATTGTTCATTTGAGCAAAAGCCTGGAGAGAAAATAGCAAATAAAATTAATCAATCTATTCTATTAATTACTTGTGGTTGAAAAGATTGCATTGGATTGAACGGCGATAATTGGTATGGTACAGAAGAGTACTGTTGTTGCTGTTGTTGTTGCTGCTGCTGCTGTTGTTGTTGTTGTTGTTGTTGTTGTTGTTGTTGTTGTTGTTGTGACTGCAGAGAAAAAAAATAAAAAAAATTCCGATTATAAAATCAGATAAAAATTTTAAAAAATCTTCATCTACATCTTGATGTATTCTGACTTGTTGATCGGAGTGATGTGTTTGTTGTTGTTGTGTTAATGCCTGAGATGATGAATTTGATTTAGCAGCTTTTTTATTAGCTAATCTAAAATCATTCATTTCCTAATAATAAAATGAAAAACTAATATACAAAAAAAAACCAATCAATCATAACTGACTTTTTCATATCTTTCCTTATCTCGTTGTGCAGCTTCTTCATAAGTTTGTTTTCCATCAGGTGCTGTACGATTCCATCGATCACCTAATTCTTTAGCTATTTCACCAACTGATAAACTTGGATTTAATGCTTTTAATTTAGGACGTTCTTCTTTACAATAATGAAAAAATGCCGATCTAAAGAAAAATCAATAATAATAATTTTCTCTTTTTCCAAAAAAAAATAAATAAAGTTTTACAATGGTCGTTTTGGTGCCAATGGATCTTTTTTTTTCTTTTTTCGTTTTTCACCGGGTTGATAAGCAGCCATTTCACGTTCAAATCGCTGTTTATCTATTTCAGCTTGTGCAGCAAATTTGGATTTTTCAGTATCAGTCATTGTCTATTAAGTAAAGAACAAAAAAAAAAAAATAATAATGTTGTTTTTTTTCTCTCTTTTGTTCTCTAACGCAGCTGTTCGCACAATCATTCACTTAATCCTATATAATTTTTTTGTTGTTTGTCCTTGATCATAGAAAGTAGGCAAAAAAAAAGAAGTATAATGGAATTGATCGAGAAAATGAAAAATGTACGAAATAATCATTTAATTATATGAGCAGAAATTGATGATTTTTTGATTAATTCTATTATGATTTTAGTCTGACACATTTTATCTAAATGTCCGCTTGCGAACCAATAGTTTTCAATTTCTTATCACTTTTAAGCTAAAATCTTTCATCTATAAAATTGATTTATTTTTTTCCTCTTTTTTTTTTTCTTTGATTAATCTTACCTTCCATTTTTCAGCACATTTTTTTGAGAATTCACTAAAATTAGCATTCTCATTTGGATATGCTTTTCTATGTTCATCTCGACATTTTTGTACAAAAAATGTATATGCACTCATTCGACCTTTTGGTTTATTCATTTCTTTAGCTGGATGAGAATGCTGATGATGATCACGATTTTGTGTTGATGTTGCTTGTGATTGTGGAATTAAATGATGGACTTGTTGCGCTTGTGGCATCATATGTGGTAATGTTCCTTGTTGTTGTTGTGGATGATAACTAAAAAAGAAATCAACGTATAGAACAAACACAATATTGATATGCATCATTTCAATATCTTGAAGCAACAAATAGCTATTTGAACAAAAAAAAAGTTCTTTTGATCTTTTCTCTTTACTCACTACATTTGCATTTGTTGTACTTGCTGTTGTTGTTGTTGTTGCTGTTGCTGGGGCACTATCATCGATTGATAATATAGTGCGGAAGTCATTTTTATAATTATAATTACAATGTATTACATTGATAATTATTATACGATCTGTAATCGAAGGATGGTTTTTATTTAACACCATGTATATTATCAAATCGACCACCATCATCATTATCGCTCAATATACGTATAAAAAAAAACTAAACTCGATGACACCCATTACTTTCTCTCCTTCTTCTTCTGATGCATATGTGCATGTGGCAATGATGATGATGGGGAGCATGCGTTATACATGTGTAATATAGCAGCGACAACGGGGGGGGGAGAAAAAAAGCACCGGAGAACACGCGCAGACCCAGATGTACGTATTTAAAAAAAAACAACTCATCATACTGTTCGCTTTGATAGAAACAAAAAAAAAACACGAAGGGAAAAAAAACCGGCATCTTGAATGACGGCATGGTAATATGTATGTGGAATGCGACGACGAAAGGTCCCCTTCGTTTTTTTTTCTGTCTCTCTCCTCTCTCTGTTTTCTAATCGCTTCTCCCTGCTTTCTCGCTCTCTGTCTCTCTCCCTCTTTCTATGTTTGTGCGTTAGCCGCGGCTACATCAATCTATATAATTATTTCTTGTTTCGTTCGTCAAGAGAAAAAAAAAATCGATAGCAAGAAAGAAAAAGAAAAGAGATTGTTCTGTTGTTAGCAAATCAAGAATATATGCCCTCTCTCGTTTTTTTTTTTTTTTGCTTTTTCTCTCCGTCCGAGAACAGAACAGAGAAAGAAAAACTCAATTAATCGGAGCATATACACATAGATAGGTTTGAAATTTTGCCGGACACGTTCGCCAAGGGTCAAGTAGAGCGAGAATGACGAGAAGAAAAAGTGCGAGAGAGACAGCGACAGACACAGAGAGAGAGAGAGAAGAGCAAATAGATGAACGACCATGATGATTTATCGCCTATTGATTTCGGGTCAGGCATTAAAATAATTTTCTTTTAATATTCTTCTGAAAATTAAGCAGAACAAAGAGAAGAAGAAGAAAAAAGAAAGAATAGCGAACGAGATATAACCTCAAATAATGACAAACAATGATTATAAAAGTGATGAGCAACGACAGCCGATTGTCAGAAGTAATTCCATTTTAACCACGATACTTTTTTTTATTATTTTCAACGCTCTGTTGAGAAGAAAAAATGTCATGGAGAGAACGTTACTAATGAATCGAAAGGTTATGCGCAATGTAAACAATAGAAAAAAAACGTATATTTATATATATATATGTGTATGTATTAAGATCGATCTTTAATATATATATATGATTTTTTTTTAATATGAATCCAATTAATAGTGACAGCTACTTGACAAATGCTTGTCAAAGTCATTTATTGTACCAATATACGTTATTCATGATCAATTAAGAGACCTATATCATCTTTACTAAACGTATATGCGAACACGTGAAAATCGTATTCTTTTCAAGTGTTTGACATAAACAGTTATGTATTGCCAAAAAAAAAAGAATGTCAAATAGTACAATAGATAAAGAAACCTATTTTATGAGATGAAAGATTTTGAAATAAATATTATTCTTACCCAGTTGGAATTTGCATTTGTTGTCGATCAGGTAATTGCATAAGTGGAAAATGTTGATGTGGATGCATACCGTCAACAAATGATGAAAACATGAAGATTAGATGTAGAAATCAAAATAAAGAAAATAAACAAAACAAAAAAGAAAAACTTTGTTTTTCTTTGTTTTTAATAATCTATATATAATAAAAGGATAAATTTATTTTTTTAATAATAAAATATTTCTTTTTATTTTTTTTAACTGATTTGATAACAACAAATCAAAATTATAAAATTGTCTTTTCTTTCTTTAAGCATTCAGTTCATTTATTTTCGTTCGTAAGAATACTATTGCTTGAATTAAATAACCAATCAAAGAAAAGAAAATGAAATGCATAACTATGATAATCAATAAAAATAAATACATAAATAAATACTTTTTAAAATTTTATTATTTAGCTTTATAAATCTTTTTCTTTTTCAGATAAACTAAATACTCAATGAAATAATCACATTATAGAAAAAAAATAAATAAGTAAACAATTATTGTTATTGTCTTTTCATCAACATATTTACGCAATAAACGTTTCAACAGAATAGTGTTCTTACTCTTGGTTAGTATACAATAATACACCATGAGTTCAAAACATGATGGTAAGAATTTCTTTTTTTTTGTGAAAAAGATTTATTTAAATATATTTTTGGATTCTTTTTGTTTTAGCAATTGAAGCTCAATCCAAAGCTATGCGTGATAGTCGTCGACGAGAAGAAGATGAAGCTCGTGGTACACGATTTGGTGAAGAAATTCTTGATACAGATGTTTATGAAGAAAATGCACGAAGTGGTTATTTAAATTACGCACCAGGAGCTAATGATGAAGATGTATGTTTCGTCTTTTTTTGGTTTGTGCTCTAATCATTAAATATTTGTTTCTTTTAGGATGAAGACGAGGATTATCAAGCACCATCATCATCAAATATAAAATTAAAAAATTATGGACCATCAGCTGATATTTTGCAAAATATTCCAAATATCGATCGAGTAAGACGAAAAAACAAATATTAGGAGAATCAATATGAATTTATTGAGAAAGTTGGTTTCGTGGTTGAAATTATGATATATTTTTCTTTTTTTACAGTATCTGATTTCTAACATTAAACTGTAGACATGAAAATATTCTTAGACTCTAGTTAGATATGGCTAGACGAGCTCAATGAGAGTATATGTGTTTTAACTTCTTGTGAAAGACTATTCATTAAAAAACTTAAGTTTTTTTTTGTTTTGTGGAATGATACATTTTTCGCGAAACTACATTCTTCATTCTAAGACGCTTGCATCATTTTACAAGTAAAAATGGAATTTACATTTCATATGGATTTCAAAACTGATATGTGTAGAGTCTCCATAAAGACATAGTTTGCGAAAGTATTTTTTTAGTACTATTCAAGCATGTTATCAATACAATGGGTATTGCATTATAAAATGAGCTGCAAATGACATTGCAACACATCAATGACTTCTTATAAAATGCGATCTCCTTTGTTCTATGTCATGTCCAGATCCGAATATTGACAAATACTCATTTTCACTGTTGCAAGGACAACATAGGCAATTATTGTTAACCATCTCCTATAGATAGGTCCCTAACGAACTATACTCAACCAACGTTAGCCAGCTCACTAGCGCTGATCAAGTCCGAAAATTTTAGGATTGAGATTCGTTTAGCAGAAAAAATTCAGATCCAGAACCGACCGAAATCGACGAGTTCTACAGCCCATTACAATCTTCATGCAAACGTAGTCAGTCGCCTTGTTCTTTATACTCCAAACACAGTTACTAGGATCTAGGAGAGGAAACGATAGAAAAATTGATTTAAGTATATATGGATTATTTTGTTCGACAATATGCATGAGCTACACAAGCGCTACAGATATTATTTCTAGGTAGCCGCTGAAAAGTTATCTGTAATAGATGTATCAGAATTAAAACTAATTCTAATATGATGTTGATGAGAATATCATATTAATTTTGATTAAATCATAATTATTGCTTAGAAAAACCTGCTAAAAGCAAGTCAAAAAACACAACTGTGTACTTCACGTATCAATACAGCCGCCACATTTCTCGGCTTTGTCTGAAACTTTATTTTTCAAAACCTTTAGAACTATTTTGTAGAGCAGAAAACGCTCTACAAGGTGCTCCATACTAAAGTTCAAACACTTGATTAATAATCATATTGAAAACCGCCTAACAATTGAAAAAAGTTAGTTTAATAAAAGCCCATATTTATTCAGAAACTTATACGAGATGCTTTTGTTCAGTTTTATGCACTCTTTCAAATGGGATGTTGCTCTATGAAAACGAATGAAAACTGATGGAGATATAAGGTGAACAATGGAGATGACCTTTGTTGTTTTGTTTTTGACACTACCATGTGTTTCAACACTTATAACTTCAGTTTAATGTTAGAAATCAATTTTTTTTTCTTTTAAATTTATGACTTGATTTCAATCATAAAATGACTTTGTTGACAAATGTTCAATCGATTGACGAAATCTCTCATCAATATTCATTTTATTTATTTATTTGATTTTTCTATCTTTAGAGTCATGATCCATTAGCTGAACATCGTCGACCAACAATAGCTGATCGAGAAAATGAATATCAGAAAAGACGACGTATGATACCAGGAAGAATTTCACCTGAACGAATAGATTATTTTGCTCATGGTAAGTATACAGAAAAAAATTTTGTTTTTTTCTTTTTTATTGAAAATCTCTCCGAAATTTTTCTCAGTGTAAGAATTTTAAAATTAGTAATTTATTTTTTTTTGTAAAATCATTTGAGGTTATTCTGATACCGAGTTCATTTTGTAGGCGTTTGGCTTCATGGATATACATCATCTACATAAATGCACTATTTTTTTCTTATAAAGAAAAGGTGTGATTAAATAGTAAAACGCCTATTTAATTAATTAGAATCTAAGCTTATTTTTTAGGCGTTAAACGATTTTCAACGTGCCGTTCGATCGCAACGTTGACAATCATCCTGCTTGAAATGAGCTCGAGCATGGTACACATATACATACTATCATAAAAGAATATAAATATATATATATATTATAAAGAAATATTTCCTTTCTTTTTTGTTCTATAAAGTATTTCTTGATATTTATTATTCAATGTCCAAAAAGAAAAAGAAAACGAGGTAGTATTTATCATTATAATGGTGGGTCTTTTATTTTTGTCTATTAAAATTATTTAGTAATTTTTTTTTTCCCTTGTATTTATTATTTTAATTTAATTTATTTAGGTGGAAAAACACCAGATCCACAAGCTAAAGCGCGTGGCTATTCGGAAATTATGGGTGAAGTAGCTATAAGAAATGCACAGGTAAAATTTAGAGAAAATAAAAAAAAAAGAAAAAAAAAAATCGCTTTTTTGTTTTGTTATTATTGTAGGCTGAAGCACGAAATCAATTGGCAGAAAAAGCTAAAGCAGTTGGAGGTCAAAGTGGTACAACATCTAATGGAAGTGCAAGTGCACCAGGTGAAAAACGTCGACGACGATGGGATCAAACAGCGCCTGCTGATGATAATGATCCAAAGGCAAAAAAAATAGCTTATGATGAAGTAAGATAATTATTGTTTTTGTTTTATATGTAATTATGTAAAATATTCTAGGCAGCAACACCACTTCATCGAATATGGGATGCTACACCAGCACCTGGTCAATCATCATTTGATGAAACACCTATGGCTTCACGTACACCTGGTGCTGAAACACCACATCATTCAGCTACACCATCAAATAAACGTAATCGATGGGATGAAGTAAGTTTGTTTTCCATATGATTTTTATTCAAATTAATTAAATGTTTTATTTTATTTTATTTTTTTAATTTTTATTTAGACTCCACGTACGGAACGAGGTAAGTTTTGAAAAGCAAATTTTTGTTGTTGTTGTTATTTTATTGATTGATTTATTATAATTTTTTTCGTAGAAACAACCAATTCTGGTTGGGCAGAAACACCGAAAACTGATCGTGGTGGTATGGATGATGTTGATGATATTATTCGATCAACTCCAACACCTTCAACTGATAAACGTCGTTCACGTTGGGATGAAACACCGGCGAATGCAGCAACAAATCCAGCTAGTTTTACACCTGTTGCAAAAGAAATTGGTGTTGCATCAACACCACGTACAGCAAGTGGTTTTACACCGGGTATGACACCAATTATAGCAACACCTGTCGGAACACGTGCCATTAATTTGCAAACACCGACACCAAGTCAAGTTCAAATGACACCTGAACAAATGCAAGCATATCGTTGGGAACGTGAAATCGATGAACGTAATCGTCCATTATCTGATGAAGAACTTGATGCAATGTTTCCACCTGGCTATAAAATTTTACCACCACCAGCATCTTATATACCAATACGTACACCAGCACGTAAATTAACAGCTACGCCAACACCACAATCAACATTTTCAGGTTTTCATATACAAGAATCTGCACATGGACAAAATGCTCAATCAAATCAATTACAAGAATATCAACCATCGGGAAATTTACCATTATTAAAACCAGATGATTTACAATATTTTGATAAATTATTACAAGAAGTTGATGAAGAATCCTTAACACCTGAAGAACAAAAAGAACGAAAAATAATGAAATTATTACTTAAAATTAAAAATGGTACACCACCTATGCGTAAAGCAGCATTAAGACAAATAACTGATAAAGCACGAGAATTTGGTGCTGGTCCATTATTTAATCAAATTTTACCGTTATTAATGTCACCAACATTAGAAGATCAAGAACGTCATTTACTTGTTAAAGTTATTGATCGTATTTTATATAAACTTGATGATCTTGTTCGACCATATGTACACAAAATATGTGTTGTTATTGAACCACTTTTAATTGATGAAGATTATTATGCACGTGTTGAAGGACGTGAAATTATATCAAATTTAGCTAAAGCAGCTGGTTTAGCAACAATGATATCAACAATGAGACCTGATATTGATAATTTAGATGAATATGTACGTAATACAACAGCACGTGCATTTGCTGTTGTTGCATCAGCACTTGGTATACCAGC